AATGACTATTATGTACCAGGGAAGCTTGTAGTCTTCTATTTCACCACACAGACTATGATTACCTCTTTCCATAAGGTCTAAAAACAATTCCTGTTTTAAAAACTATCTTGTTGCCACCAACTAAACCTTAAAAGACAGATTTTCCAGTTAGAATGAATTTCCCATAATGTACGTTCCTGAGGGAATAGAAGACATGGGAGTTTTTCATGTCCAGGAGACTACCGAGAAATCTGACTATTTGGACAACTGTTTTATTATTATAGAACTCATTTTAGGAAACATAATCAGCAACTTTTCACGCTTCAAGTTAAACACAAAGCCTTTTTTTCTCAGCATTAGTTTTCCTTCAACGCTTACATTGAGATAAAGAAACGTTTTATTTGGATAGACAGATAGACAGGCAGACACATGCCTTTGAGTAGTTTGATCCTGCAAGGTGCTCAAAACCTTTCTCTCTTAACGACATCAACAAAAGTTGTATATGGACAGTATTTACAGGAAACAAATAGTCGATGAACAAAAGGTAGAGACCAGGGTTTTGTATTAGGAACAGTTGCTTGATTTTAATTTGACTGAAATTTGGTTGACAAAGGTAAGAGAGTTGATGAAGCAGTCTTCTCCAAGGCATTTGTCTTGCTGCCGCCTGGCATTTTGATTAGTATCTACAGTGATATGAAATTAACATGCCATATATTAAGAGGATGAAAACTTAGCTACCCGGCATGTCTAAAATATAATTGTAAATGGGCAATCATTATTAAGGAAGTGTGTTTCCAAAGAGGTCCTGAAGGTATTCTTGGCCTTATGCCACCTAAAATTTTAATCAATGACTTGCAGGAAAACCAAGAACATAGAACATCAGTGATAAAGCTTGTAACAATTTAAGGAGAGGAAGTAATGAACATGTAACATGGACGGTTAAGTTCATGCTACAGGGGTACCTGAACTGTTGGTAAACTGGGTTTAAGCAAACAACTTACTTTTCAGCACAGTCAAATGTAAAGTTATTTTTCTAGGAACAAACTATTACCCACAATTGCAGAATGAGATTTCTGTCTGCAAAGCAGTGTGAGGGATTGTGAGCTGAATCTGGGCTGTGTCCATCCATGTACAAAAGCACTAAGGCACCTCTTAGATGAATAAATAGAAATCTCTAGAAGGGAAATTGTATTCCTTATTGGGCAGCCACTGGTTTAACTGAAACCCACAAGTTCCAGAGGGAACGTCCACTTAAAAGTGAAAGGTTCCTTCATTCTGTCTGAAACATATTTAGCTGACAGTCTGACTGACAGACTCCCTTTTGCCGTGTAAGCAATTTTTCTTAGTCCTGCTTCAGGGGTATAGCGGCATTTTTATGATTTTCATTCATAGGTTGAAGTAATTTTTTATGATGATGATCACCTATTGTCTTGTGACAGGACAAATGGAATTGGAAATGTAAAGGATCTGGACACTGACGAATGGGAGATACAAAATGTAGGGAGCATACTGGTGTTGGTAGAGTGGTGGAAAGAAAAGAGGCTAGGAATTTTTTGTCTTTCACTACTGAGAGGTTGTCATGTTTTAACCCCAGTCAGCAACCAAGCACCACACAGCCGCTC